TATTATTATCTTATCAGTATGCCAATACCTCAATTATTTTTTTAAAGAATATTGGTCAGATATCAGGTTCTGATATTCCTCATTACCCAATTTGGCATCATTCGACCAGTAAAAAGAGAACCAATAGATTATACATAAGCAAAGAAAGATGGGACCCTAAATTAGCACAAAAGGATTTTAAATCATGCACAAACATAACAGCTTGATAGCTTGATTGGCATAGCGGTGCAGTTTTGGATTTTTTTTATTGTATATTTTAAATATAATTAATTATATAGATAAAAATAAACATGACTTAGCTTATTTAATCCTTTCCTTGTATGTGAATGCCTCCATCCATCAAATATTCATGATTATTATTCAATATGTTTGATGTTATAATTTACATAACAAGCAATTGCATCACCCAAGTAGTAACAATACCAAGGCCATGCATAAATGAAACTTTTAATAATGTGTCACTCGTAAATCTGATGTTGATCACAGGTATCAGATTTAATAAAAATTTCCTATCACAAACATGTGGTTATGTGCTTTCACACGCCTCATAACTGTGGATTTTTCCACAGGCAAGGTCCCCCACATGTTGGAAGGCTTTGGACAAAACATTTCTTTATCCTTCTCTCAGACCAGGCTTGGCTGTTTCCATATAGGCATTGATCACTGATAACTGGTGCTTGTGTGATGATTGCTTTGTGTTATCACCTCTCTCTAAAATAAAGTTGGCACCTGCAACTGGTTTGAAAATTCTGCAACTTGGGAGGTTGCAACCTGGGTTGCTGTTTTGGTTTTTTCCTGGATTCAGAGTTTTGAGTCCTGGGTTACTGTTTTGTTAGTGGCATGCCTACTCACCAACAACCCTACCCCCATTCAAAAAACAAATTAAAGAAAAACAGAGCATTTAGGAAAGTGATTATACAAAACACTATTTTACAACTTTCCTCTTAACATCAGAGCACAAATGCAATTTCAGGGCCACAAACCCTGCTCTGAATTGTGACTTCCTGTGCTTGAAACAAGTTGCAGATTCTCATAATATTCATCAGCAGAGTTGTGGCTTGGTCACAGTGCCATCCTTGCCCTAGAGGTGGAATCGTTGGAGGCAACTTTTTGGCTAGCGTGCCAGCAGCCTTCTCTGGGGGAAGATTAGTGAAAGCATCCTTGACGATTGATACAGCCTTGGTAAACTCCAGGCCATGCGGTCCCCCCTGGAGTTCAGTTGCATCATTGTATCTTCGAGGAATGCAGGTCAGATTAGCCTTTTGTACATGATACAAGGAAGATGAGAATGACTGTATGTGTTCAAGGTGGTGTGCGTGCTTCAACACCTGCCAATTTCCGATAATCAAACGTTGCATATTTGAGTTGTTTCTTTTTCAACAATGTATTGCCTTGACATCTTGTAATATAATATTTATATTAATGTTATTAATATTATTGATTACGAAAAGCAAAATATTATCAATGAAAATCTTGTAATTACCCAGCAATGATCTGTTGCGCGTTTTGATTTCCCAATTAAAATATTTAAAAGACACATTATATCAATCAAATAAAAAATAGTACCCCTGGTTAGTTATTAACACGTTTCTTTAGGAGACCCAAACCAAACCAAACAACAACACTCACGTTTTGTCACCTTGGACTCTGTCAAAAAATAAATTGTTTTTCCAAGAAAGAAAAAAAAATCAATTCGTGTCTGTCCTACCAAAAAAAAAACCAATAGGATAAATAATCAATGTGTACATCACAATCTTTTCTTTTGATAAAAAATGTCAAAATCTAATACTAAAAAAAGAACCAAACAAACTCAACAAGAAGACATCGCTGGGTAAGTGTTTTAAGGATGTTGGTGGTGGTTATCGCTTGCCACTCGTCGTCACTCTAGTTAATATATATATATATATATTGATGCGCATTTACTCCTTTATTTTGCCAACTGATTTTTATTTTTATTTTTAAAAAAAAGATGCTCAAGCAAGCAAGCTTCCCGGGAAAAAAATGAGCAGGAGGAATATTACAAGTAAACGTTTTTCTTTTTTAAAGGTGGTGGTGGTTGTGTGCACTGTTTCTTGTTTATTACTTTCAATTTTTGTATTTACTTATTTTTTAGGAGTCGTGTTGATACTGTTGACAATGATGACAACAAAGATGAAGTATGAAAATGACTTTTTCATTAATTAACAACAATTTTCAATATTCTCACTAAATTTCTCTTAAATTTTCTTTTAGAGTCCATTAGTGATAAACTTTAGTGAAGTGCTAGACGAGGATCCATCTTTTGGTTCCGATATTAATAATGTACGTATTTTACTTATTTAATTATTTACACCAATAATAACAATAATAAAAACTATATAATATTATAATCAAAACAGGATTTAAAGATGATATATCCGGACCTTATTAAAATTTATAAAAAATCATCTGATTGGTAATGTTTTGGCATTACATTTATGTTACTTAACATAAAATATTACTAATGTTACTATTGTTTTATTATATTAATAATAGTGATTTAATCCATATGGCAATAATTGATTTGGAAGATGATAAAAAAATGAAACAATTCCATTTAAAAAAATTTCAAAAATGTTCAAAAAAAATATTATGAAATAATGAGATAAAATTAAATGATGGTGAGAAAATGTTGGATACCATCAAAGGCATAGAAAAAATTGAAGACACTATAGATTTTGTAACAAACTTCAGCTCAATGAGTAATTTAAAGTTAGATTATCAATCAACGATCAATGATTTTATATATTCCATTGTCAAAACTTTGTATGTCTAAAATTTTTATTATTTATTTTAGTAAAACATAAATGATCATTAATATAATTTTTTCTATTTAGTGCTGGCTATTTTGTTTTAAATGAAAATTATTTTAAAGAAATATTACCTGAATACCATCTAGGAGCAACAATACATGTTCAAATTTTTATGAATTTGTTTAGGGATAAAAACTATATAGTATGATACAATGAGTAAGCACTAGTTTCCAAATTTTAGATCTTATTTACAGTGTGTAATGAAAAAAATTGACCTCCGATGATGCAAAATTCAAAAGCATACAGTTTCACGAATAAGCAACAAAATCCCATCCAATTAAATCAAACAATCATACTAAACCCCTGTGTTGTAAAAACAAACTTTTTGAACCATCAATCTTAGTTTTGTCAACATAAAAAAATGTCATCAAACAAGCTCAATTTGCAACGTTCAACACTTCTTTATTATTGGAACCAAGGAATACATTCTCCAAAGGAACTTCACACAAAAACTAATATTCCCCTATCAACAGTCAAATATAATATTAAAAAAATAAAAGAAACCAGAGATATTTCACATAAGGGAGGTAATGGCCATCTAAAAAAGATAGGATCAGCAATGATGCATGAGCTTGAGCAATACATTTGCAATGACAGTTCCACATCTTTGCGAACACTGGCAATAAAATTATCCAATATGAAAATTCTGTATTGCATATGGCTGTAGTGAGAAGATTGAAAGAGCTTGGCTACAAAAATGCACCTCCAACTGGTACCCCAATGCTCACTGTTAATCACAAGGCAAGGTGAGTTGAATGGGCTAGGAATCACCTAAATGATAGTTGGGAAAGGACCTTGTTTTCTGATGAAACAGCCTTCCATCTGTTTAGGAACACAATAAAATGATGATATAGGGGTCCAAAACCTATCCGGCCACTTCCTAAAGACCGACAAAAAGTCTTTGCCTGGGGCGGGTTTTGTGTTAAAGGGAAGACTAGCTTGTTTTGCTTCACTGAGATTATGAATGGAGAGTTTTATGTTGAAATTTTGCACCAGCACCTTCCAGAAACCAGAAGGATGCTTGGTAGGCAGTGGAGATTCCAACAAGACAATGACCCGAAGCATACTAGTCAGGTTGCCAAAAATTTCCTTGATGAGTACTTCCCTGAAGTCATCAATTGGCCAGCTAACAGCCCAGACCTTAATCCCATAGAAAACCTATGGAGCATTGTTAAACATAATGTAGAAAAGCATATGCCAGCAAATATTAGCGAGTTGTGGCAGTATTTGGTTGAGGAATGGGAAAAAATTCCAAGTTCTATATGTTGTCTAACCTTGTTTCGTCAATGAATAATCATTGTCAGATGATAATTGATAGTAATGGCAAATGAATCAATTATTAATATATATATCAATAAAATTTCTTGGTTTAGGTTTTTAAACAAGCTATTGTATGCTCAATTTAAATAAATATTTATTGAATTATTATAAATAAACAGAGGTCAATTTTTTTCATTACACACTGTAATTAATATATTTTATACATATGTAACACAATTGTTTATCATATTCTATGAAATTCTAGAAGGTCGATCATTACAGTATTTGGTAATTCCATATTTGGTATATTCCCTGACTGCAATACTAGAGTAAAAGAAAATCCTGGTGAATTTCGCATTGACAATGGAATTTTATTTTGTAATTTTGTGACCATTCTGTTGATTGGATACAAAAGTCAATGGTTGATGACCACCTTAATAGTAAAACACATAAAGCTAAGAAAAATCTGTATGAAAATAAACAACGTCAACTTCAACAAACACTTGTTACCTCTCTTTCTTCTTCTGAGTCTAAAAAAATTATAATTCATGATTTAATTGAAGCCTTTGCTATACCAGATATCCCTTTAGAAAAAGTTGATTTGTTACTTAATTTTTTTTAGAAAACATTGTAAAGAAAGTGGTGCTATCCCACAAGCAGCAACATTATGACAACTGTATAAACCGCAGAATGCATAAATATTATAATGGAAATTATGCAGAATAGTGTTTTTTAATGCATGGCATGCACGCGGAATTTGTTTTTAGCACAGATGGAATTAGTGTTTCATCACTGCAGAAAATCATTGTCCCTGTGTCAAACAAACATTATTGACCCCCGAAATTCTTGGTAATACAAATGTTCACTTTGTCTGGTTTTGTTGCAGAATGCCCCATATAAAGATAATCCTTTTAGTCAACAATTAGATTTTTGAGAATTAAAGATGGTATGAATTTTAAGACCTTGTATATGATTGAACTTGATATATATATATATTTTTTAAAAAACAAAAATTAAAGTGCTTATAATAAAATTCAATTTATAAAAATGATAATAAAAATTTTCTATGTAATGAATGGGACAAAAGGATAGTACAAAATTTTAAAAAAAAACAAAATTATTTTTAATCTTCAAGAGTGAGATCTTCTAATAATTCTTCTATACCAATTTCAGGTAAATCATCCTCAAGATTGTCCTCGTCAACTTCCATTTGATCATTAGCTTGGTCATTATTATTAATATTATTGGTTGTATTATCATTATTAACTTTATATAAATTAACATTTTGTCTAAGTTCACTATCTTCTTCCAATTCTCTTAAAAACAATTCATATTCCATTTCACTTTTCAATAAATCTTGCTTCTTACTATCAATTTCTTTCTCTTTATTTAAAGATGACAATTTCCAATTTCTTTGTTTATTTTTTCTACGTTTATTTGAATATGATTTTTTGATTAGAATGACATAAGGTATTTCACTGTGTTTCAATAAATCATAATTATTATCATTAAAATTTGATGAAGTTAGATCATATCCTAATGCCAAATCTCCTGATTTCAAAATATTGCCCAAATGTGTCCTGACAAAATATGTTTGATCATTTCTACCAAAATCTGTTGATTTTGCTACTTGAACTTCTGCCAACATATACTATTTTTTGTAATGATTTAGTTATTAAATAATATTAAAATATATTTTTGGTATTAGTTTTTTTTGTTACATAAAAATATTTACCTTTCCACGAACTTGAGGTAAAGGTTCAACATCCAACACATAATATTCTGTTAAACTTTGTGCTGATGCCAAAGCATTAAATGGTGTCCTCCAATATGTTGCAGTTGCAAGTTCAGATACTAATAATTATATAATCATTATTGTTATCATATTATCCAAAATCATTATTATTATTTCTATTGTAACTTACCTGCCAGTGTATTTGGATCCATAACATGTATAGAATTTCCAACACGATAACAAATAACCAATTGACTATATATGTATATTTTTATTGTAAAAAATTAAATTGTTTTTAAATTTTATCATAACATTGAAATAATGCTGTTGAAACAAACCAAACCTAATATTTCCAAGTGAACGAGAAATTTTCAATGGTAAACAGATTAAATCATCTTTACATATTGGGACTATTTCTACTGAATGCGAAAATTTATAATTTGAAGTATTATTATGAATATCAGTTGAAATAAGTTGTTCAGAAGTTTTAGTTCTAAGAATAAAATCACCATTAATATCATAGATATAATATAATATGTAATATAATAGTAATAATATTGTTGTTTACCTGACAGGAACAACAGAATTTAAAAATTCTACCATTTTGTTGGCATGAGATCGATTAGAATAATAGAAATCAAGACCATCTTTAACTTCTTTTATATTGATTGTATCTTTATGAGCATGATGTTTAAGTATAAGTTGCTCTAAAAATAGAAAAGTTCTTTTATGATTGACTTTTTGTCTAACTTGAACTAATGCCTTCCATGTATTCTTTGCCATTATTTTAGTACAATCATTACATTGTTGATGATTGACAACAAATTCTACTTCAAAAATTTGTTGTATAAGTGTTGATGCAAAAACCTTTTAAATGAAATAAGTTGTTTTTATTATTACTAATATTATTATGTCATTTTTAATTTTAATATTAATATTAATGGGTCATACTTCTTTTTGTATAGTGAGTTTAAGTTTAATTCTTTTTGAATGAGGTTCTGTCCATATAAATCCGGCATCAATCAATCGTACTTTATTCAAGCCTTTTAATTTCTTTATACACAAGGCCAATAATTCCTTACTTTCAAGCTCTGCACTAACCCAAATAGTTGGTGGTTGTAGATATCTTTCACAATTACGACAAAAATGTATAATCGCCTGTTTTGGAATTCCTTCAGTGATATCAACCTCATTTCGAATGCAGTTGATACACATATTTGAAGGATTTGGTGAAACCTCTATGCCACATTGACAGCATAATCTAAAACATTATTGATAAAAGAATTTATTCTTTAGATAATGGAAAATTTTTAAAAATGAATGTTTTTTTGACTTACATAAGTGGTTCAACAACTACAGGGTTGTATTGCATTTTTTTTTTTGTAAATATTAATTTTTTTTTACATCAACCGTGGCATTTGAAATCAAAAGATGATCTTTTTATGCCGTGTAATGGTTCGAGATCTTTCTCGGTATTTAAAAAGAAAGTGTCAACATAATAATATTCTAAAAGCCTATTAGTAAATGTTGAAAATGCCGATGTTTATCCTGTTTTTTAATAAAGCATTGTTAACTATTGACTTGATTTAATAAACCAATAGCTTAATTGGTTAAATATTTCTAAAGCTCCTTGCTTCCAAGTAGAGTTCTATTTGTAATATTTGCTCATTTGTTTCATTTGTTTATTCATTATTTGTTTTGTTTGAATTATTTGAATTATTGTAATTCAAATACTCAAATCCGTAATGAATAAAACAAATAACTCAAATAAATATTTCTTTATTTTTATTATCTTATAACTTTTTAATCAATACACATCTAAACTCAATAAGTTGGACATTTATTTACAAAGTACTTTAAACAATTGATTTCTGCATCCGACTTATTGAGTTTAGATGTGTAGTTATGATACTAAATTTATTTATGTATGAATCTTTTGATTAATAAGTTAACACTATTAAATAATTTACCCTTTTATATCATGACTTTTTAAAAAAATTTCTATTATTGTGTACTAAAAAACTTTACCCATTTTTCTTCATTGGACATAAAAAATTTTTACCCTTAAAAGCCTTGGAACTTTTAATGTATCCATAATAATAAAAATTTTACCTCATCAATAACAGTGACATTTTTCACTTTCTATATTAATATGTTTTTTACCCTTGGTTTGCCTGGGACCTTGTTTCTGGGGCCCTATTCATACATACCTATAGGAAATTTTTTAGATAATTTGCTTTTTTGGCAGATAAATTTAATTGATGATCTGTCTATGAATGAGTGAACTCTAAATAGAGATTGATGGAGGAAAAATGACACAAATTTTACTAATTGATAAAGCTCTGAACAGTTTGGTTCAAACCAAAGAATTTGGCAGTTCCTGGTATTCTAATTTTTGCACTCTGCTTATTTAGAACCAAACCCACTAATTTCTAATCTAATAACAATCAGTGAATGAGTTTTTCTGAGGCACAGACTTAATTACTCAAAGGCATTGTATTTTAGAACCTGAAACAATAAGAGTTTAAAAGTTTGTGGAGATGATGAATTTTATATATGAATTGAAAAAGTATATAGAACATCCTTAGGATTTCTATTCAAACAAAATGAATGAAACGAATAAAATGAATAATTTGAATATGGTTGGCTTGGTCTAAAGACCTCCTATTGCTGCTCCATGCAGCCAAATTTCAAAATAGAAATTTTGTGATTTGTTCAAAAATGTAATATGGTTGGCTTGGTCTAAAGACCTCCTATTGCTGCGCCATGTGACCAAATTTCAAAGTAGTAATTTTGTAATTCGTTCAAAAATGTAATAAAAATAGGACTTCATGTCAGTGTTGAAATTTCGTTGTGTAACCAGTACAAATTTAGAAACTATCTCCAAAAATTAAAAACTTGATTGGTGTGTAATGTCACACCCCCGCATTCCCCGCACCGAATTTTCAACACCGGAAAAGACCTTCTCTAATTGTTCGTGCAACAAATGTTGAATTAGTAATCATAATTTATATACTTTAATTAACTGCGCTTTTATACACAGAGAAAAGACCTTCTCTAATTGTTCGTGTAACAAACGTTGAATTAGTAATCATAATTTATCTCCTTTAATTAACTGTACCTTTATACACAGAGAATGTAACAAAACGTTGAATTAGTAATCGTAATTCATCTCCTTTAATTAACTGCACAGAGAAAAGAACTTCTCTAATTGTTTGTGTAACAACTGTTGAATTAGTAATCATAATTAATTAACCGCACCTTTATTCAAAGTAAATACCTTCTCTAATTGCTTGCATAACAAATGTTGAATGAATAATCTTTTAATTAGCCATCAAACATTGAATTAATAATCATAATTTACCTCGTTTACATCTTTTGCATAATAAACATTGTTTTTTTTCATCTGAATAAAGCAAATTCTAATTACACAAATGTAACTTTGTAATCATGCATGATTCATTCCTTAGATTCTTTAATCAATTGCACACCTATGTGCAAAGCAGGCATCTTCTTTAACTAGTAATCAGAATAGAATCTTATAATTCAAACAAACCCTTCTACAAAGAATTTTAAATTACTAATTCAAGCCTTGGCACTTTAACTTGTTTCTCAATGAAATTCTTGTATCTTAATGTTGAGCATTGAGTAACATCAAATTAATTCAAATAGCCTTTGAAATCCCCTCTCTGATTTTTCATCATACTTTGAGATGTAATTTCTGAACAGATAATAATAATACAATCAAATAATAAAATAACAAACTTATATTGAGAAAACATAATCTCTTGAAAACATACCTGAAAAAATATATTCCTGCATATATTATTAATATATCATTTTAGCATTATAATAATTCATTGTCAGAAATTAACATTAGTATTAAACACACATACCAAATTGACTGCAATATCACAATTTGATTGATTATTCTGATGCCTCCTCAAAAAAAGCAAAAAAATATAATAAAGATTTGTCTAAGGATCAAGTTTTTGAGAGTTTGAAGTCTATGGGCTCCAATGAACTTCAAGAAATTGTCCATGAAATTATCTCAAATAAGCCTCAAGAAATTACTTGTGGAATTAGCTCTGATGAACCTAAAGAATTTATATATGAAACTAATTTCAATGAACCTCAAGAAATCATCAATAACATTAGCTTGAATGAATCTCATGAAATTGCTTATGAATTTAATTACAATGAATGCCAGGAAATAACTCATGAAATTAGCTTCAATGAACCTCAAGAAATTGATACTCTTATTCCACAAAATAAAATAGAAAAAAAGAGGAATGAATTTATTGAACATGTAAAAAACTTGCCTGAAAATCAGATAATTAATGCTTATACTTTATTCTCCACAATGAGATATGATAAAGGAAACCATCGTGGAGAAATATATTCAACCTATATTCAAAAAAAGGCAAAAGAATTTGTAAATAGCAGCATTTATAAACAATCTTCATCTATATCATCAATACAAGGGAAAATTAGTGGAATGGAAACCAAAATACATAAAATGGAAAAGAAAAAGGAGGTTACTGATCTTCAATTAAGATCACTTAAGATGAAAGAAGTGAAAGCTAAAGAAGCAAAAAAGAATAATATTTCTCAGTTGCGTTCTATTCAAAAAGCAAAAAATACTACACCAAATCAGCTCCAGAATGTAATAAAAAGGATGATAAAAGAAAACAAGAAGCAATACACACCTGAATTTGTACAGCTTGCAACCAAAATCAGTAAACATTGGTAGCATTTCTATTTCATCTACTGTTGAATGCACTAGAGCAATTATACATTTTTTAACAGGTGATGAACCAGATCATTGGGACTATTTCACGCTGGAATAAAGAAGTTGCCACTTTGTGTCTTTGTCAGAATTGTCCAAAAGATACCAAATCATGTTTTTATTCTTATGGAATAATGTGTGATGAAAGCACACGTGGTGATAAAAAGATATTTTTGGTTTGCTTTGCTCATTGGAATAAGGATAAAAATCAGCCTACAATTACTATTGCAAAGATGGATGACTTAGACAAATGCAATGGAAATACTGTAGCCAAAGCAGTAAAAAAAACATGTGAGGAAAATGAGATTAGTCCAAAGAAATGTAATTTTTGGCTTACAGATAACACTGCCTATATGTCTGGTTCCAAGTCAGGTGCAGTTGTCAAATTTAACTTGATGTGTCAGTCCTCTTCCTACCGAATTCCTTGTGGCTTGCATGCATTAGTGAACTTTGAAAATACAACATTTGGAAAACCCAATTCTCCATCAGGTCTCTCTTTGGAACAACAACACCCATATAACCTTCTCAATTTAACATACCACTTACATGATGGATATAATGATAGTAATAAAGAAAGCCCTTTGAACATGAAATCTGACTTGATACATAAATTATACTGGTGTTTGCTTCAATATCCTCTAAAAACTTATCAAAAACCAATATCAAGCTGTTGGTTATACCAGCTAACAACTGCTCAGCAATATTTGACAAATAAAAATACTCACCTAATATTTGCACAATGGTTTATTACTGAGCTCATCAGGAAATTAAAATGTACGTAAAACCGTGTAAATCTTACACTTACTTTTATCAAAGTTATGTGCTAAAGAAGGGTCGGAACAAGCATTATCAACACAATATGCATACAATGTAAATGTAATGTGTCATTTCTTTATGACGGATTGGATTGATTCATCAAATGCGTGTCTTGATAAATAAATTAGGTTTAAGCTACCAATCAACAAAATGAACAAAATTATGCTCGATAATATTATAAGAGAAATTGTTATAGCAACTAATGGATCTCTTTTAAACGGTTTAAATATATTAATATGATTTTTACTCATTTTGAACACAGTCTCGCCGTGCGTATATATATATAAATATTAATTCGAAGGCAGTTAATATTAATGTTGTCATTTATATCTGAAAAATCATAATAATAGTAATTATTAACATCAGGAAGATTGTATTGTATAATAATTATAATGCGAATGCTTTAAAAAACAATACAAGATGATTTGAAATTCCAAAAAATATCATAATTTCAGTTTTAAGAATGCGAAAAAGACCAAGCACAAAATATAATAATAAACATCTATCAAGAATGACATCTGTCATAGTAAGTAAATATTAAAACTAGGTTACAATTTTAGTTACGCTTTTTTAATAATAATACCAGGAAACTCGTTAATAATTAATATTTTAATAAAACATTAAAATATCAAATCTTCGATTCTTTTTATTAGAACTATAAAAAAACTGACATTGAATCGTGTGACGAACCCTTAGTGATTTTTTAAATTTCCCGTTTTTGTTTGTTTGCGCACATGTTACACATGCGTGTGTGCGAACCTCGATTTGTTAAGTTGTGGCGGTAAATTAATACCAATATAGTTGAATTAACATTCCATTTTTGGTTAAAAAAAATAAACAAATTTTACAAATGATCTTTTTTTAATAAACGTTCTGGTCTTGGGGCAATTCTTGTTTTCAATAGTAAACTTTGAATGATTATAACTCTTTAAATAATAGAGATATTGACTCCGAATTAAGTTTAAAACATACTAGAGAAATAGGACAATAAAGTAATAGAGCTCTTTTTTTTATTTTAATATAAAAAATGGCATTTATTTTAAGCTAGAAAATCAAAATAAAAGTTGTGAATATATGTTACTAAATTTATGTAAGTAAAATTGTAAAAAGCTCTCTATTAGTTTAAAGATCATCAAAAAGTGAATTTAAAACATAAGTTTTATTTGAATATAACATATAGTTTAAGAGTTATTTTGAGTTTTGTAATTTTGCGAAGTTTGCAAAACTCCTGAAAAATCCTTATTAATGAAAATTTATGTGATCAACTATGTTTGTAAATCATATGATGTGAGACACCCCAGTGTTGTGACCCGAAACTCTGAGTTTAGGGAAAACCGAAACAGAAACTAACAGAAACCACCTGAAACTAGTTTAGGTTAGTAGTTTATGTTTATGTTTAGGTTTAGTTTTCTGCTTAGTGTAAGTTCATTTTCCGAAACGTTTCGGGAAGCCAAAAGAGTTTCTGGTGACAATACTGAGGACGTGCCATATATTAACTGAGACCAATTTATTGTAGCCACTGAGAAATTGTACTTTAGATAACTGGTTTTTCCAGCTCATCTTTAAAAATCCGGATATTCTTTTAAGAAAATTGCTTCGATTTTTACCTATCAAAATTATTCTTTTAATTATTGTTTGTAAACCATCCAATTCATTTTTTTTGATCAATGGATCAAAAAATTTATAAAATGGTCCAACAAAATATTCAACTCATTTCTTCCATAACTCGAAATATTATCATTGTATTGTAAAATTACGTTCTCTCGGATTAAGTATTTTAAAAGTTCAACATTTGGAAATCTATTTTTGAATTTTTCTGCAAATATGATGAATATTGCGAGCATGTAACCGAGGTTGTTCAATAAAACATATAAATACTGCTAATCCCCCAGTTTCCTAGTGAAATCTTTATCAATATTCCTCGATTAGATTTTCCCGTTAGTCTCGCTAACAAAATAAAACATATATACAACTATATTGATTGAGGCAATATTGTAAAATTAAAAGGGATTAAATCATTAATTATTAGAAAGGGTTACGACACAATTTACAATGGCTTTGCCTCTTTAACTATGCAATGATTTGTAAAAAATTTAAAATGTTTTTATTTCAATATAAAGAGTTGTGATTTTCCAGTTAGTTCTTTTAACTCAAGCAAATTATACTTCTTTACGTTTCACAAAATTATAAAGGTAAAATACTTTGGTGACTAATTGTAAAGAGACTTGGACACTACTGTCTATAATAACAAAGATACCTCTTGACATTATTTAATCATAAGAAAAAAAAGACCATGCAACAATTTACAAATAAAGAAATATTAATATTACAGTCAGACCTCTATATAATTGCACTCTCGGGCCACACAAAATACGCGTTTATAGAGAAAGTGTGCTTGCATAGAGGTACATTTATATAGTCACAAGTGTACTTGCATACAGGTATTTTTGTATA